TGCCACTCGGTTGTGAGCTGACAGATATTGTTTTCTTGAAACCAAACCCAATCACTGACCATGCAACTTTTGCAACATGTTGAACGTTTACGTGCCATAGGCATGTTGCAGGTGGGCATGCGTCAGAAAAGTGTTGCCCAAACGCTACATGTTTCTCAATATGTCATCAGCAGATTGTAGGCCAGATACCAAAGGCCGACTATACTTGTCGTAAGAGGAGACTAAGGGGACTGTGTTGTCAGGCTCACTGACTTTGTTGATGCATGTCATCGTATTCCAGTTGTGTGGATCAATGTTCATGATGTCAGTTACTAGATTTTCTGGTCCAGACTGGATTATTTACAGACACCATCATATAGCTGGAATATTGCTGAGTGCGGCGTTAAACAATGTAACAAACAGAAAACACACTGATAACAAAGATATGCCATATGGCTCAAACTTTGCCCATCGGCTGAACAGTTTTCCATTTCAAAGCGAGCTCATATCCTTGATACAATATTGAAGATGGAAAATTTGCTCTCCTGTGTATTGCAAAGACCTTGAATGAATGGTGGAACGAGAAGAGATGTCGAAACTATTTCATCTCTGTACATCACAGTGATACTCACATTCATATAATAATCTCTGTATTAGGGCTTGGACGGGTACTCGGGTACTCAGGTCAGATTGGTACTGAGTAGGATCCAGGTACCCACAGGACTACCCGGACCCATGGTTAGTCATGAGATATATTGTTTAATGACATAAAATTATATAGAATTCTATGTGGTTACACTACAAGTCACTAATGTTCGCATTTCTTTCTGACTATACACCTATTCCTTCTGAATTTTATATATTTGAATAAAGATAAAACTTCAGTAAACTTCAGTGTAAGCATGACCTGATCGTTGAACATGTGCATGTAAATAGTTTTTGCCAGGGCTCTGGTCACACTATTCCCAATCGGACACTATTTACCCAACACTTGAGACCTACAGCGGGTACCCAGGTGGGGTCGGGTAATAGGGTGGGTGGGTACCAGGGTAGTAAATTTGGACTCGTCCCAGCCCTACTCTGTATGTATCGAAATTAATTGTGGCAATTCTTTTAACAGGTCAGGGAAAATAGCCAGATAAATGACAACATGTGCTTTAAGACAGCATATTTTATTTGTATTATTTCATAAAAGAAACTGTACATTTAACAAGCAGATAAATATATTTGTTTTACAACATAAACAAATCACTTATTTTTTGCTACAAATTAACGATATATCATCATCAATGAAATGCTTGTGAATTAAGTGAACTGGCAGTGTTTCGTCTAATGACCTACTGTCAGCAGAGATCAGCTGCTATATAAGAAAACATCCTAAATGCAGTATATATATATATATATATATATGTGTGTGTATATGTATTACAAGTAGTATCAAAAATACATATCCCAAAACAGCTACAAAGTTCTGCATACATGTAAATTGACCAATGACCCATTTATGCATAGATAATACCCTACAGTGGGCGTTAGGCTGGACAGTTGACACTATGAAATCTGGACAGGGGGCACTTCATTCTAAATTGGTACAGTGACTTTATTTATTTAACAAAAGTATAGTTGCAAGAGTACAAAGAAAATAATTTTAACCAGTAATCATAATCTTTTTTAGGAAACACTTTCAAACCAAGAAAATTTGATAAAGTTTGATATCCCTTTGTTCACAAAAACATATTATAAAGTATTTGTAAATATAGTTGTTTTATGGTTGTTTTTAGAGCACACTAAATCTTCATTGTAAGGCAATGTGAAGTGAACAAATATCAGCAATTGATTTTAACTACAAAAACCTTATATGAGGCAACAATTATTTCAATCTCATTAAAATCAGATCTAAGTTCTCGCTGCTGCTAAACAATGATCTGAGGACATCCCATTACGGGACCGACCAATGGAATGACCAATCAGAAGGCAGCTTTCTCGTGCTGTACAGCATTAATTTCAAATTGGCGACTACGCTTGGAAACATATTTTGACAAATTCTCGATTAAAAATTTGAAACCTGAACAAAAGAACATTCAGGAATCGCTAATAGATGGTCTAGATTGTATGGATTCAGTCGTTAAACTATCGTTCAGAATACCTCGTGTTAAAGTTTTTGAGGATGCATGATTAGAAATCACATTCCGACTGTCACTTTCATAATCTGGTAAGCGACGCTCTGACATGACCCTTACTGGGATGTCCTCAGATCTTTGTTTAGTGATAGCGAGAAATAAGATTTGATTTTAATGAGATTGCAATTATATCAGCATGAAAAACACATACCAACAACACTTAATCATTCAAAGCAAGATTTCTACTGATGTATATATATATATAGGATATAATGTGCCGAAATAAGTTCTCTCACTCATCCAAATTCATTTACTTTTTAATTATGCATGTTTTTTACCTGTCCAGATCCTTAAAAAGCTTACTACTGATGCATCACCTTTCTTCTATATGCCATCCAAGAAAATTTACACAAGAGGAATGCATGCTTATAAACCTTATTGGTTAAGATTGAATACAACCTGTGCTGTAAGCCATCTTATATGTCAACTATACACTGTGATATACTGTCAACTTTCATCATATAGTGTGGTTGGGTAGACCTGCCTGGACTTTGATGTCATCTCATCACATGAAGGATGGTCTACCCAGGGGGTCAAATAACAATTCAGATTCAGTATTATAAGTGGCTTTCTGAATTTGTCATGTAAAAGGCATCTTAAAAAATGTGTTTTTAAATGTCTGATAGCATCAAACGTGGAAAGACATTTCTAATTTACTATGAACCCACCCAGCAATATATTTATATGCATAACCTATTGAATAGACATACAAACAAAGCAGGTCTGACAAATTCAAATACACATCTTTTGTATGGTCCCACAATCTAATGAACACACATGTATATATGCACTACATCATCACTAAAATCTAACATTGAGCATACTATGTACAGGAAAGTAGTAGTTAAACGAGCATTTATACAGGAAAATAACAGACAACAGATTTGGCACTTAGAAACTATTGCAGAAAGCGACACTTATCCATAGAAAGATATAGGCATTGATAAGAGATCAGTTTGTTTGTTTAAGGATTTAGAGAAGATATCACTTTATGAACCAGAAAGTATTATTTGATTCTTAGAGGAGGTCCTTATATTGCTATATTCAGAAGGAAAATTTGCTTCATCATGATTGATCCAAGCCTGAAACAAGAACTGAAAACACTGAAACCTGTCTCATGTAGAAACAAACCTGGCAGATCTGAGTACACATCGTGTCACAGATCCATGTTCAGGACACACATCGTGCCACAGATCCATGTTCCAGACACACTCTGTCCTGGCAGGGCACACATCGTGTCACAGATCCATGTTCAGGACATGCTCTGTCCTGGCAGGGCACACATGTGCCACAGATCCATGTTCAGGACACGCTCTGTCCTGGCAGGGCACACATGGTGCCACAGATCCATGTTCAGGACATGCTCCCTGTTGCTGTTGGGGCACACATGGTGCCACAGATCCATGTTCAGGACACGCTCTGTCCTGGCAGGGCACACATCGTGTCACAGATCCATGTTCCAGACACACTGTCCTGGCAGGGCACACATCGTGTCACAGATCCATGTTCCAGACACACTGTCCTGGCAGGGCACACATCGTGTCACAGATCCATGTTCAAGACACACTCTGTGCTGGCAGGGCACACATGGTGCCACAGATCCATGTTCAAGACACGCTCTGTCCTGGCAGGGCACACATGGTGCCACAGATCCATGTTCAGGACATGCTCTGTCCTGGCAGGGCACACATCGTGCCACAGATCCATGTTCAGGACATGCTCCCTGTTGCTGTTGGGGCACACATGGTGCCACAGATCCATGTTCAAGACACACTCTGTCCTGGCAGGGCACACATGGTGCCACAGATCCATGTTCTAGACACGCTCTGTGCTGCTGATTGCATGATGCAGGCATGTCAGTCTCAGCTCATATTCACTGATGACCACAGATCTACATTCCAAGCTTTGTTAACTTTCTTCTTCAATCTATTTGATCTAGCAAGTAGAACCAGGTCGAGATCAGAGCTAATCATCCAAATAAATACTCTCCTGAAGACATACTCTGGTCAGCTCACCAGCCAGTACTGTACACTTACTCATTCATTTACCACCTACAGGGCATTTACAATTCTCAATACCCTTCATATGTTAGTATTGTCAAATCCATTAAAACAAAAAGGGTTTTACCAGAAAATCAAGCATGGAGAAAAATAATGCCACAAAAATTGTTCATGAGCAATGCCATACCATTCTTTTATTCACGGACAGTGTGCTAAAATTGATCCATAAATACATACCTATGCCTCATAGCAATAAAATAGCATATCACAAGAAGTCATCTATGATGAATATTTGAACTAAAACATTTGGCAAGAGGCAAGGCTACAAATTAAGCAACTGACTAAAAAGCAAGCACCGATGAAATGACTACAGAAATCTGACGTGTTCACTACCCTGTATGAAAGTGTCTCTGTCTCGAAAAATCAACTGATAATTTAAATATGTAAAGTTTATAGTAAAATGTTATCTCGTTGCAAAGTTATCTGGAAAGACATGGTCATCTAGGACTGCACTCAGCAATCATCAAGTTCTCTAATTCATTCAGTTAAGATCAAACACAATGTTACGCACCATCATATGCCGGGGTAACCCATTAACAACACCACAGACTTTGCCTTCTATGCAGTAATAGAAAAATTGCAATACCGTATTTGACGTAATAAGCGCCCACGGCGATATTTGCTAATATATTGGCTAGTGAACAATCCCAATTCCTTCAGATTGATCAATGTACACAAGACTTATTTATTCATGTATAATATGCACTCTTGTGTTATATGCACCCTTAATAATGGGCAATTAAATTCTGGAAAAATATATCTGTCGTGTATAATACACACAGACTTTTCTTTTGTATCATTTCAGGCTGTCAGCATAAACCACGACATTTTACGATCTTTCAACTCTATTTTTTTCACCAAAATTTTATTCTAAAGAGAGCCCCCTATTTCTTATTTTGAGAGCACCATGGGCGCTTAATACGTTGAATATGGTTTATAAATTTAACACAGCCTGTCTCAAATGCTTTGAAAGTCTACTTGCTCAAAACTGTCTCTTGGCATCATTTTCAGTGGATTTTGAAGTAATATATGGTGGACTATATTAGTCTACTAGACCAAACAACATTTTACTGGACAGTCTAGCTTGAATTGTTAGAATTTTATCAAGAGCCAGTTAGTATGACGGTTCCAGATGCAGGCTGATATCCTGAATCAGTCAAGACTTGCATGTGGTTGATGTACATTCAATGAACACTAAAATCAGAAACATTTCAAATAATGCACAATATAACTATCAAAGGACACATTTTAACCCTTGCTAAATGAAATGACTGTTATTTGTTCATGACTGATAATGTGTATGGTTAGAAAACAGGCAGAAACTTAAATATACAACATTACGCTTTTCTGTATCAAAATACCACTTGCGCATGAGGAACCGACAAAACCTGAATGCAACTAACCAAATGACATGTTACAGATATGAAGACACATATGCTTTAAGGCCGCACTTTCTGAGTGAGAGAGTAAATTGGGGGTAACACTAACCAGTATTTCAGTTCTTTCATGGCATCAAACTTCAGGATGACGACCCATTCACCAGGTATCAGAAATATATTCGGCATGTGGCTCTTTTCTTTAAGGTTACCAGTAATGATATGGACCCTCTGGCAATCTGAGGCACTACTTAGGACTGGTATACATAAAACAAAAGCATAGTGTTTCAACTTATGGATGTGAATGATATGCCTTGAATGCCAATGGTCATATGTCTTCAAATCATACCATTTTCTAATCCAAGTTTACAACATGCCTCTAAATCCTGGGTTCAGGAGTACAGTCTGTGTTTTTAGATGTATTGCCATAGAAATATGAAACCTGGGTTTTCACAATGTCAGAAAATACTTTAATTCTCTATCCAATGTACCCATGAAAGCCTGTCCATTCCACATCTTGAGTACTCCACCAAATCCTTAACTTTTTATGGAAATCACAAACACAGCACAACAACAAAGGAGACAATCAGGGCTGAAAGGAATTAGTGAAAGTGACTGTCCCAACTATAGCCCTTCACGGCATGTAGTACCGACACATATCTAGATCAGTCTATTCAAATATCACAAGTAATATCATGCAAATGTTCAAGGTCTTAGATCAGATGCACAATGACAGATCTGCGGTGACTGCAATTGCAGAAAATAGAACACAGGGTATATATCTCCACTGGATGTTGCATGAAGCACCAGAATGATCTTTAACATATTGTTGCACCATTTGAAGAAAGTTAGTTTTTGTCATTTTACAGAGATTTGCACATATAATCGTATTCAAAACTCTCTTGTTTCACCAATGATGTTATGTACACATTTTTCACATTGCTTGTCCATGACACAAGATCCCACAAACTTGAACTCCCTTTCAATGAAGAGTTCCTGATAGTCCACAGTCAGTGACCTAAGCAATACACTCAACCAGATCATTCTCAGTGCAGTGTCAGATGATGTTTATGTCGTCATCATGTTCATGTGTTATTATGCAGGACACTCGACTTCCTTTCAGCAAAGAGGTTTTTGTGTTGAACTGTCTGTGGCCCTCCTTCCCAGTTCCTGATTAGTATCATGTGCAGGAATTTGAGTAAACAGAAGTTGACCTTTTCCCCATCTTCCTAATAAATGAAGCAGTAAAAATGAAAACTAGCTATTTAAATCGATGAAGAGGCACATGAATTCCAGGCAGTCCCAGACATAACTCCAATTGCTCAGTTACTATCATAACAATTTTGTTTGGATTGCAATAAGCCATAAGCTTATTACTCATTCTCAGATCTATTCATCAATGTCATTCCAAGCTAAATATTCAATAAGCTGCTTGACTATAGAAATAAATGACTGAATGTTTCTACCAGGTGACTATTTCACTATGAGATGAATGAGATTCTCTTCAAAGATAAGGGCAGACTCCTATTATCAGCACATACAGTGTATGGAATCACCACTCCACTACTGATTGTATAGATCCTTTCAAAATTGATCAAATAACACAATCCTATAAATATTTCACTCTGAGATTGTTTAAAAAGACGATTCTGTTCTGACTGGAAAGTCTCACTCACATTTTATTTGAGTCAGCATTGGTGTGGCACATGGCCCATGACTCAGCAAGTTAAACTATGGATCATGTTCAAACATGTGTGGAGGTGCACCTAAATCTCTACATATGCTGCTCATAGTTAGAACTCCCTGTAGATGTTCTGGACAGGACTGTTGGAGGAGGTGAGACTGCTGTGGGACTAGCCTCAACACGGCCATAGTTGCTGTCTCTCGTGGTCACAAACATTGGCTTTGGTGCCACTTTGGGTGGATTGGACTTCACCTTAGAGTCTCGAGCATCTGGTGCAGATGTGGACTCTCTTGGTTTTTTAGGCCTCATGGTAACTTCTGGACCATCTTCATCTTTTTTAGTCGTCAAACCTTCTCCCAGTAGCTCTCCCACAAGGATGGAAATATCAAGAACATTATTGTCTTCATCTGTCTTACTGCTTGGTCTAGATTTGGCAGAGGGAGGTCTGGATGAATAACTCGGCAGGGGAGGAAGGTTCTCCTGTGTGGATTTGTCTACAGATCCTCTGTTTCTTGGAATTTCACTTGACAGTTGCGAGGGCTTTTTCTCATTGGTAGACTTATTATCAGGTTCATTACTTCCTGGTGTAACATTTGTTCTCATGGGCTCGGGCTCCTTTTTCTGTTCAGGTTCATTCTTGATTCTGCCATCTGTTGTGTCTCTTCCAGTGTTCTGAGCCACTGGTTCTGGAGGAACAGGTTTGAAAGGTTTTGGACTTTGCAGACTGGTGCGAGGCTTGGGGATTTGCACAGGTGTAATAATAGTCAGCGGATGTGGAATATCTTTCTCTTGTTTCTGTTCCTTGTTATTCCGAATGGGGACAGCAGTTATTGGACTATTTTTGTCACGAGGAAGGGGTTCATTTTGAAGATTTGGAGGAGGATGTTTTGGATCAATAGTTTCTTTATTTTGTACGGGTTCTGCAGGTACTGGATTACTTACACTTGCAGGACGAGGAAGATTTTGAAGATTTGGAGGTGGAGGATGATTTTGTTCATTTGTAGTTGCTTTGCTTGTTTGAACTCCAGTTTGAACAGTGGGGAATGTACCAGAATTACGAACACTTGCAGGCCTTGGAAGACTATCCAGATTTGGAGGTGGAGGAGGTTCTTGAGAATGTGTGCTTGTTCTGTTATTTTGCAAAGGGGCAGAAGTTGAAGAATAACGCACTTTGGGGGGAGGAGGGATCTTCTTCAAATTTTGTGGTGAAGGAGGACTTCTCATTGTTGTGGCTGTGTTATCAGGTACAGGAACAGGAGGCTGAGCATAGAGAACCCGAGGTGGTGGTGGATGATTCTGACTTGGGGGTGGAGGGCTATATTGTTTTTGGGGTACACCAGGTGTATCTTGTGGCTCAGGAGGAAATGTAAAATTTTCAAGATTGGCCGGAGGTGGAGGGAAAAAAGGGGGTGGTGAGCGATCATTCTCACTGGGATCAGGTGGAGGGGCTGGCAACACAAAATCAGGTTGAAGATGAAATGATCCAGTACTGCCTCTCTTTTGCTTGTTTTTCTTATCTTTTTGTGGCTTCTGTTTTGATTCATGTGATCCACTCTTTCTATCTTCTTTAGGATCTGTAATAAGGGGACTAGTTGCACTATTCCTTTCCCGTAGAGAATTTACATAGTCCTCATACTCAGGATCGTCCTTCACAGCAAAGCCATAATCTCTCATTGGGAGACGACTTTTAAAGGATGAAATCCTTTCCCGAGGAATACCTTCAACGTCTAGGTCCACTACGGCATAAGGCAGGTCAGATGCATCTTCGAGTTCGGTCCAACCAGCCTTTTTTCTATTGTTGTTTTCAGCCTTAAGTTCCAAAAGTCGGGAGTTCTTCTTAGCTGATGAGGCCATATAACAAGTGTCGGTTCTTTTGGGGCCCAATGATTCACTCCATCTTGGAGTTGCATTTTCTTTGTAGGATTCTGAAGGTAAAAGTTTGGTGTCTTCTAGTTCCTTGTCTACCTCTCGATCTTTGTCTGTTCCACTTTTCCTGTAGGTTCCATTTTTGGCTGATGTACTGCTTTCAGGACGTGTAGTAGGCATATCAACATACTGAAAATAGACATGATGGTCTATCAACTGTAATTAGATATCATTACAGCCCCATGGAGGACTGGTTAATTGGCATTTCAGCATTTCAAGGGAACTGAGTAATGATTAGGAGCTTCTAAAAATATATTTTATTTAAATTACTGTTTGATGTACATTAAAATATGAGCAATTTTACTCTCAAGTACACCTGAACTCACCTCACGCTCTTGCGGCAGTAACTTGTCATCTTGAACAGATATTTCCAACTTGGCACTCTTGCGCCCTTTGCTGAAACCACAAACAGAATTCAGTTGATTAACAATGTACAATAGACTATAGGTGTATCTGTTATAAGTGCCAGTTTCTAACGCAGATCTCACTTTCAAGAACATCTGTCGTCATTTTGTTTACAAGTGACTCTCATAGTCTTCCCGCTCTTGTAAACTAAACTGAAACTTGATTGAATCCATCTGAAAATACGAAGGCTTATTCAAACCCACTTTTGACAAAATTCTAGTAAAATCTAGATATTTTTTTATATTTGTGTACTTTTCCTGGATTACTCCTTAATGCATTTACTACTTGTTCTATTGTTCTTGACAGAAAGAACAGCTGTGTGAGGTCTTGCTGAAAAATAAGTTGTTCCGACTGGTCGTATGGCTAATCCCATCACACAGCTCCCACATGACCACGGAAGTGATGACGTCCCGTATCATCACATTACTGCTGTCACTCAGAGAGAACAGCAGTAAATGCAATAAGGAGTAATGCAGGATAAGATAATAAATCATGTCATATTAGATAACAGATAACTAAGTTTGCTGTCAGTTTCATTTACATTCATGAACCTAGTACTGGCAACAGTGTGGCAAGTTTCATACTGGGAGACCTTGTATGGCACTGGGGAAAAAGAGGGTATTAACGTTCAGTCAAACATTCGTATCATTCATCTAACAGAGATGCCAACAATTATGTTTGGGTAGAATCATTACGGTATTTTGCTCCAAAATCAACTGCTACAGGGAAATACATTATGATTTTGAGAAAAAACATGTCACTGAGTTTGACTGGTTCTATATTTCACTACCTGGGGTTTCACTACCCCCTTGACAGTGGCAAATGTAGGAAGCATGTTTGACAAAAAAACCCAGTATATTGATAGGACTATGTGTAAGCAAAAGCATTTTTTCCTCTGTAGTGCATGAATTAAGAAAATAATAACATGCATTACAGCTAAAATGGATAGAATTATCATTAAACTGCCGGCATGTTATCAGAAATGAGCGGGCCACTGTAACTTGATAATGCCCTCATATTGCTTAATGACGTGCCATTATCACGCCCACTGTTAGGTGACGTGATAGGGATAGGGATAGGGATAGGTAACGTCACGTTCAATAGTGACGTCATCTGGTTTGTTCTATGACGTTTCCATATTTGAAAAAGTGTGTCAGTGACATTCGTGTTGATTGCAGCATATGTTTCAAAACCGATATTGTTGTTTCTTTTTATTTGATAACAAATTTCATCCATTTTAGCAATAATGTTGACACTAATTTTCAGAAGCCCTTGGTCTTTTCAACGGGCCATGGTTAATTGAAGACCTCAAGCTTCTGCAAATGATAATGCCCTGAAAAACAGCGTTACCCTTATATTATCACATAGACTACAGATTATTAGAAGTTCTGGTGATGACAAGAGAATACAGTCAATCACTCTAATCATGCCCACGATTGCTAATATCATTTTGAAAATATTAATTATTGACCCAAAGATTTACTGATATTCCTAATGGTCTTAAATTGGAGTAGGCTGCTGATCTCTGCTTGCAATCAACATTATTTGCTAGATCATTCAAATTCTTATATGGAGCGTCAACAGATATTCGTAATTCTGACATAGAGCGTCAACAGTTATTCGTAATTATGACATGGAGCGTCAACAGATATTCGTAATTATGACATGGAGCGTCAACAGTTATTCGTAATTCTGACATGGAGCGACAACAGTTATTCGTAATTATGACATGGAGCGTCAACAGTTATTCGTAATTCTGACATGGAGCATCAACAACAGATTGAGGATACTCACCAACATCCCCATATGACACAGAAGAAGATGAACAACAGGAGAAGCAGCACACTGGCCACAATGACTGCTGTGTAGATGAGAGCAAGGTCTGAAACACACCATAACATCTCAGTGAGGACTGACCCTTGTCATCAATGTCTGTGTCCTCACAAGTACAAATACTGGAGCAAGTCTCTTTGATTTGGGGTATTTTTATATATTTCTTGGACAATAATATGAAGATGACAATAGTAGATTTAAGAGTTACTAAAATTAGAAGACTTTGGTCATATTGGTTCCAACGTATGTTATTATCAGATAATCAATCATATTGATTTAATGAAATTATTGACTGAGAGAGCAATTATATGATACAGTGTGTACTGAATGCTTTTTGTCATCTGGGCATTATTTTCAATAGATTTTAGTCTTAGTATTTGGACTAGAATAAGCCGATTTTACTGGACCAAATGAAATTTTACCAGACTTGGGCTTAAGACTAGTGGTTAAAATAGGACTGAGTACAAGGATTTAGGCCGATATTTGGCCCCAAGTCTGCAGGAAATGACTGTAAAGACCTGCTCACAGGCCAATATTTGGCACCATTCTGCAGGAAATGACAGTAAGCATTCCAAATTTGAATTTCAAATGTCCCTAAATCTCAGAATTTATGAAAATAAGAACAGTAAAATAATCCAATTTTGAACATTAAAAATTATCACGATTTTCTTCCCAATTAGCCTGATGAATGCTAGAGAAATCTGTGGTTTACATATATTGTACCCAATTGAACTAGTGAACCTGACCAGGTGTTAGGTGGGAGGGAGCTAAACATATTCAGCAACTCGCAAAGACTGCTTGATACTTATGAAAAACTGAGCACTGAAGACAAGAGTTTCCTCCCTTGTTCTATCTACTGTAAGAAGAGTTTCTTCCTGTGTTATTAAAAGCAGTGTGGATATGCCAAAACTAGGCAGGTGAGCTGAAAGTACTGGTATTTTGTTGCTTAGATAATTATCTGCATTGTACATAGTGTATTAATTGTCCTTGGCAACAGCCATATTCTTCTGCAACATCCTTTTTTTCAAAACTATGAATGTTTATCATGTTTATTATACAAACTGATGAAATTATAGTGAAGGCGTAATAAGAACGAACGTCTGTACAATTTATTTCGGCTTGTACATCAATATCAGGTGTGTGGATCCACCATGTGGGGCGATACATGCGTGGCTGACTGGTGATTAACCTGCGTATTGTTGCCCTTGGCATTGCCTGCCCTTCCTCCCGAAGAGCTACCCAAGCTTGGTCTCTGGCATACACTCACTGCCTGAGAACAACCCACAGATGCTCTATTGGGGACATGTCAGGGGATGCAGTGGGCTAGTCCTATGTCTGTGTGCCTTCTCGTCAGAGATAATCGGTGATGACCTTGCCATGATATGGTCATCTTGCAGTTCAACATTTCTGCTGACAGTTGTTTCGACGGCTCTTCGCAAGATTTCGTCAACATATCACTGGTCAGTCAAATGTCCATTCACGATAACAAAATTAGTTTACCTGTCATGTATGATACTGCCCCACACCATGACAATACCACCCCCATATCGATCATGGTCCAGCATTGTTGCTCTGGTATACCGCTCGAGGCTACATCGACAACAATGTTTTCTGCCATTTGTGAATCAGATGCAAAACCTTGGTGTGAAGCCACTGGCGCACAGCCCGTCCCTGGTGTTGCCTAGCCCACCCCAATCTTTGCTGCCTGTGGTAAGCTGTCAGGGTCACACCCTTCACAGGATGCCATGCTTCAGGACGCCTTGTCTCAATGCAACCCCACCCGTTGGATGGAACTTGTCCCACAGTCAAGAAATTACACTTTTATATTTGCCAAACATTCGGGCTACTTGGGATAATGACGTTCCCTCCGCCATTGTACTCACATTTCATCATTTTGTCTATTCATTGACATACTGTCTCAGATTCACTTCTCAAATTCACTTCTCAAATACTTGATTAACCAATTAGCCAATTGTCAAATGACTTTAATATAAAACTCAAATCCTGACACTGATAGGATGTTTAATCCATTCCAGTAATGTGTTACTCTTCGAGTATGACTCTACCCATCAAGTCATCTGTTTCATATTCCATCTTAAGAGCAGTTAAATCAGATCATAAAACACAAATCCGGACACAAGCTCGAGGTGTATGCATCACTGACCTGCTGCCAGCTCTACTTTGACCGGTGGACTGAATGGTCCATTCCCCGCTGCTGACACACCACACACTTTGATGAGGTACGTGTTTCCAGTGTCCAAGTTCTTCAAGGTGTAGCTGACCCCTTGACCTACAGCCATCTGACTCTGTTCTGGTCCTTGAAACAAACGTTGTTTCCTTGTCATCATCCATTACAAATGTTATTTCCTAGAATTCAAACACTGGATCTTCTGCATGAGGAAGAAACCCACAACCCACAAGGCAACCCACCAACTAAGGTTGTTTTCCAGCCAGATGTCAAGATAAAAACATATGGACATACACACGAATAGTCAATTTCAGAACAAAGTTGCTATTCATTCTGTAGTCATTATAACCAATTGGGGAAACATTTTTGCATTTCAAGAAAGAGACACAGACCTATAAACGAAGAAAACAATGCAAAGCTAACAAACGCGATGGATGTGCCTGGAAATATCTCTTCATGAGAATACTAGAATACTAAGTGCTTGTAAATAGAATTCAAAGTAGAATTGGACAATCCGTGATTTTAACCTATGACAAGCGATTCCTGCATGGTCAAGGGATGGATCCCTTGACAGTGAGAAGCATCACCTAAGATCACTGTTCTACTTACAGTGAATGTCTTAACAGAAAATGGGAAGAAGTCGATCGCTACCAGATTGTGGTCAGATTGTTTTCATTCTCAATCATTATATATAGTTACCTGAACAAGTATCTCCATCCACTACACAGTACACCACGAGTACACCAGTCAGTACACTTGGTGTCTGCAAGCAACTCAGCTTCTGCCACTCCAAGTCTATGCTGGCAGTCGTGGGGTGGCTGGACATGTGCAGGACCTCAGGCGCTGTGGTGGGAGCTGGGAAAATAAAAACATACCTTGATATTTTCAAAATTTTGGAAACTTGTTGCCAAACAAATATTCAATTCATCTTTTAATGTGACTTGGGGATAGGAATCTCAGATTATTTTGGCAAAATCTTTAAGGTGTAGAGGCAATGCAGATTTCCCAGGGGTGCGAAAACCTAATGCATGGCAACAGAAGAAACATTCATTGTTAAACTTGTCACTCACTATTCCCACTGATGTGAAGGCATTGACTCCATGAGATGCCACTGCTGGTCACCAGACCTGTGTCCCTCCGTGACCTCCCTGACCTCTGTGAGGTCATGATGGCCTCGGCAGAGATCCCCACCATGTAGTCTTGTGTGGTGTTCTCACTAAGTCCTGGGAGGGTCAGATTGTACTCTGTGGTGTTGGGGAACACACTCTTCCAGTCCAAGGGGGTCTGTGGTCAAAAATACATGTCAAGTATTGCCTGCATTTACAATGAATGTGGGCTGGTTCATAATGTAACGTGTAAAGTCATGATGCTCCTCTGAAACCTGAAAGATGTTGATACAATTACATGTAGAATACATGTAAGATAAATATTACATTTTTTTTAGATAATGCCAATGTAGCAATCATGTCTTGTGTACAATGTAAACTGTTTTGTTACATTTGCCAATGTTCTGTTTCACCAACACCACCAGTAGTATACACTTGCTGTGCAGTTTTACATAAAACAACATTCATTCACTCTTTGCCACTGCCACTGCTACTACTACGATGCACTAGGGGCTTACTGTGCAGTTGGTTGAGTTGTCTTCCTTCATGCACCAGTACGTGGTGTAGGACACGACTCGGCTGTGGAGTGGTTGCCAGTTGATGTTGAAGTTGGTGGGGTCCTCGTCAGCCATGAACTCAACTGTGAAGTCCTGTGGTGGTGACGCACCTGCAGGGAATCAATACCGTGAGGGGTCTAGAGTTGACCATGTGAACCTAACTAATCTTAGATAGTAACATACAAAGACCTCTCTGTTTAGTACAGGTTCCCACTAACCCATGCTTGCCACTGATCAGGTAGTCCGACTCCGTGAGTTGGTGGATGTCACTGTTGCTGTACCTGACAGTGTGGAATGTTGCTTATAATATCAGTCTCTTCGATTAATTCCTTGTCTGGCCCAGACTGCTCCAGTTACAGGCCTGTCACATAGCTAAAATATTGCTGAGTGTGGCTTCATGCAACAAATAAGAGCATACACAAAAAAAGTTCATGACAAAATTAAATTCTGCAAAATTTCAGATCAAGAAATTGTTTTCTAATTACCGCATTCGACGTAATAAGCGCCCCGCTCTAATAAACGCCCACGGCGATATTTGCTAATATATTGGCTAGTGAACAAGCCCAATTTGCATCCCTTCCGATTGATCAATGTACACAAGACTTATTTATTCGGTATAATAAGCACATGTGTGTTATATGCACCCTTATTTATGGGCAATTAAGATCTGGAAAAATATATCTGTCGTACATAAACATTTCAGGCTGTCAGCATAAACAACGAAATTTATCTTTCAACTATGTTTTTTTTCACCAAAATAATATTCTAATAAGAGCCCCCTATTTCTAATTTTGAGAGCGCCCCGGGCACTTATTACGTGGAAAACGGTATGCAACCTTGAAAAGTTTAACACAGTGTATTCCAAATGACAGTTATGGGTATTATGACTCGTTTCAATGGGATAACATTTGAAAGGGAAGCGACTTCTCGTAGTTCTCATATAATCTCAGCCATCTAACAGACATTCCAGAATTTTCTTTGGTTATGTTTTCAAATTTTGAATCAAGAGCTTTGTCCAAATATTTCTCAAAGCATAGTCTGGATTGGAATTTGCTAGTGTGAAGCAAGTGTCATAAAGCTTGAAAAAGCTGCTTTCTGATTGGCTTAAAAATTATGTTGACTTCTTGTTAGTCATTTCATTTGTCAATCAAAGTTTGCGAAAGGACATATAATGGGATGTCCTCAGAACTTTCTTTAGTGGTAGAGAGAACTAAGACCTGATTTTAATGAATTAACAATGCTCTATTTGCCTAAATATATAGCTAATGTAAAATAAACAAAAAGTCTTATTGAAATTCTGTCATTTGAACAAATAACAATAATCTGATGGAGAAAATATCAGTTAACCACTGTTAATTGTCATCAGATTATTTTTAGTGAATCAGTTTTCCTTGAAATGGAAATAAAACCTTCCATGATTATCAAGATTCAACATTACAACTGTTCAAGATAATGGATTTGTTAAAATCATTTGTATATTTAAGAACTGACTTTCACTTTGTGTGAGTTCATTGGGGTATGAACCTTCATAGAGTGAGGGCCAAACATTGTAAAAACGTCATTGCAAGCTCCTCACTCAATGAAGGTTCCTACTCCACTGAACTCACACAACATGAAAGTCAGCTCTTTTTAATTTTTCATATCACTATTTTATACCTCGAGGGATTTAGTGCTAGATCTGTACGTAGGACTTCATGTTGACACTGACAGCCATACAACAACCATGATGACTGTATCGCGGAATAAAATAGTTCCACTAAAAGGAGAGGTGGCATGAGTGTATGTGTGCTCAACATGCTTTACAGGAACACCTGTTGTTTGTTTAAAAGAAGTGTATTAAAAAAATATCATCATTAGATGAGAAAGGTTTGTTAAGAACTAGCACAGTAAGTCAGTCACAATGACAGCGCGTTGTAATACATACACATCAAGTACAAGGCATCAAAATGGCCGACACGATAAAAAGGATGGGAGAGATTTCAGGAGTTGTTAATGTTCAAGTTAATGTACAAATGTGTTAGTCGTCACAGATCAGTTGGCCGATCATTGAAAGGTGATTAAAGGTGTGTCAAATAAATACTAAGGTTATTCATAGATTGCTGTAGACTGTAACTGTCAGTCTAGACATGGCTGAAAATAACAACAAGACATGGGAGCTACAGAATATGTAACAATGATGTTACTAAAAAAGTAAGGGAAGCAATTACATGAATGACTGGTCGGAGCAAGGAAGCATATCAATAATTGATATTGACCAGGAAGTGTGTTAAAGCCCCAGGGGAGGCCTAACTACCACAATGTGATACTTCTGTCTGATGTGGTACTCAGCCTGATCACATCGCAGTAATTGACTACAAAGTAATTATGTAGATCCCATCGCCCTGAGCCACCATGTCTGATTAGCAGGCTGTCATGTCACACAGAGGACTTCATGACACTGATCATGTTATTGGTGCTCATGCTTTCAGTCACTGGTTTGCCAGCCCAGACATGACTATTTGCTGGCCACCATGTTGTAGCTAGAATATTGCTCACATTACGCACTCGCTTACACTTATTTTAAAATTGTTGATCATTAATATTTCAGGTCAGGACAGTACTTTACTATGATATTAAAATGTCAGAAAGAAATTTGTCACGTGTTACCCTATTTCTTCATTTTATGAACAACATTGTATACATAACCCTTCACACTTAATTTTTCTTTCCATAACAGTGCTTGATGCCATTATCTGTCAGAACATTAACATTAATGAATATATGCATAACCTTTCTCAGCTGTCGGATGTATTTGAAGCTTGACATGTTGACAAGAATGAGACACAGGAGCCTCAGTAGGGTTATTTCAACAACATTTAATGCCATTTGGGATAATCTCTATACCTACACTAGCAACAGCAAGTAGTACAACATTTAACAGAATCAAAGTCAAAATCAAAATCAGAACTATATCATGAAAACCCCTTCTATTTAGCAAAGATTTTTTTATGTATACATTGGATGGACGTAGTTTTATGCAAGTAAATATGCCTTGATTTGGTCATACAACACAGATACTTCAGTGTACAGCCAGTTTTCAGAAATTCGGCAGATTCTGGCCTCAAAAAGTCATTATCATGGACATGACCTTTCGTAGCTGTGTTGTGTGTTAACATGTGTAACAATGTGTTACAATGTAGATTTGATAGCAGTAATTTTACCTTTTGAAGCCATTGTGAATGTATGTGCAAGGTGACAAAGGATTTGAGAAAATATGCCATGAAGTGTACCTTTTCCCTGTGGTGCGATGGTGATGAGTTTGGACCTATTGGAGCAGCCGCTCTCCGTACAGGCCGAGGTCTGTATCTGGTAGGTAGTGTTGGGCTCCAGGTGGAGTTCTAGTGACATCTGTGCCATGTCTGTCACTGTGATGTCAGTCTCATTTCCAGTGGCAGTGTCTTGCACAAAGATGTGATATGCTGTGATCAGACCATTACGAAGGTGGGCAGGAACAGCCTGGAAGATGATAGATGACAAGGTAACGTCGATAATGACAAGGTAGACGTTGATAATTACAAGGTAGACTTCGATAATGACAAGGTCCACCTCAATAATGACAAGATAACCTCGATAATGACAAGGTAACGTCGATAATGACAAGGTAGATGTTGATAATGACAAGGTAGAACTCAATAATGACAAGGTAGATGTCAATAATGACAAGGTAACCTCAATAATGACAAGGTAGATGTTGATAATGACAAGGTAGACCTCAATAATGTCAAGGTAACCTCAATAATGACAAGGTAGAACTCGATAATGACAAGGTAGAACTCGATAATTACAAGTTAGACATCGATACCGACAAGGTAGACGTCGATAATGACAAGGTAGACCCTGATAATGACAAGGTAGAACTCAATAATGACAAGGTAGACCTCAATAATGTCAAGGTAACCTCAATAATGACAAGGTAGATGTCAATAATGACAAGGTAACCTCAATAATGACAAGGGAGACCTCAATAATGTCAAGGTAACCTCAATAATGACAAGGTAACCTCAATAATGACAAGGTAGACCTCAATAATGACAAGGTAACCTCAATAATGACAAGGTAGAGCTCAATAATGACAAGGTACACCTGAATAATGACAAGATAACCTCAATAATGACAAGGTAGATGTTGATAATGACAAGGTAGACCCTGATAATGACAAGGTAGAACTCAATAATGACAAGGTAGACCTCAATAATGACAAGGTAGATGTCAATAATGACAAGGTAGACCTCAATAATGACAAGGTAGATGTCAATAATGACAAGGTAGACCTCAATAATGACAAGGTAGATGTCAATAATGACAATGTAGATGTTGATAATGACAATGTAGATGTTGATAATGACAAGGTAGATGTTGATAATGACAATGTAGATGTTGATAATGACAAGGTAGACCTCAATAATGACAAGGTAGATGTCAATAATGACAAGGTAGACCTCAATAATGACAAGGTAGATGTCAATAATGACAAGGTAGACCTCAATAATGACAAGGTAGATGTCAATAATGACAATGTAGATGTTGATAATGACAAGGTAGATGTTGATAATGACAATGTAGATGTTGATAATGACAATGTAGATGTTGATAATGACAAGGTAGACCTCAATAATGACAAGGTAGACCTCAATAATGACAAGGTAGACCTCAATAATGTCAAGGTAACCTCAATAATGACAAGGTAGATGTCAATAATGACAAGGTAACCTCAATAATGACAAGGGAGACCTCAATAATGTCAAGGTAACCTCAATAATGACAAGGTAACCTCAATAATGACAAGGTAGACCTCAATAATGACAAGGTAACCTCAATAATGACAAGGTAGAGCTCAATAATGACAAGGTACACCTGAATAATGACAAGATAACCTCAATAATGACAAGGTAGATGTTGATAATGACAAGGTAGACCCTGATAATGACAAGGTAGAACTCAATAATGACAAGGTAGACCTCAATAATGACAAGGTAGATGTCAATAATGACAAGGTAGACCTCAATAATGACAAGGTAGATGTCAATAATGACAAGGTAGACCTCAATAATGACAAGGTAGATGTCAATAATGACAATGTAGATGTTGATAATGACAATGTAGATGTTGATAATGACAAGGTAGATGTTGATAATAACAATGTAGATGTTGATAATGACAAGGTAGACCTCAATAATGACAAGGTAGATGTCAATAATGACAAGGTAGACCTCAATAATGACAAGGTAGATGTCAATAATGACAAGGTAGACCTCAATAATGACAAGGTAGATGTCAATAATGACAATGTAGATGTTGATAATGACAAGGTAGATGTTGATAATGACAATGTAGATGTTGATAATGACAATGTAGATGTTGATAATGACAAGGTAGACCTCAATAATGACAAGGTAGACCTCAATAATGACAAGGTAGATGTCAATAATGACAATGTAGATGTTGATAATGACAAGGTAGATGTTGATAATGACAATGTAGATGTTGATAATGACAATGTAGATGTTGATAATGACAAGGTAGACCTCAATAATGACAAGGTAGACCTCAATAATGACAAGGTAGATGTCAATAATGACAAGATAACCTTGATAATGACAAGGTAGATGTTGATAATGACAAGGTAGACCTTGATAATCATTTCATGGGATTCTCGTGCAGCAGTACTTCTGATTCGGTTGCATTTTGGGCTCAGCATTCTATCCTTCTCTGTCAAAATAACATATTTCACATTTGCCTTTAACGTTAATTAACTATTGGGATTTATTTCATGCTTTCCTTTTTCATCATATTCTTTTGTTTTCTTTTAGATTATGTTAATTTGTATATGTCTTAATTTTCCTGTTTTTCATGTTGCACATTAATAATATACAGGAACATTGCTCATAATCACACCCAAACATTTGTTCCTGTCAACGGGAACTTTTCACTACACAGGTAGAACATTTTCACTTCAGTTTTGTGTATTTGATCCTGATATTTTTTCCAGGTCAGAATTACATTTGGGTGGAACAAAAATATGCTTCCAATGGAATCCATATCTTCAGCATGATGTGAAAATACAAATGACTTCCATCAAATCATGTAATTCTTGAAGCCAATGGCTGTGATCATACCTTCCAAAACAGCAGGATCCCTCTGCAGTTGTCTTGGTCACAGTCAACTTCTAGAAAACTCCCAGGATGCACTTCTGGCTGAGATGCAGGAACTACAAAATAGTCCATTCGATTAAGACAAAATATCTCAAGATGCAAGGAAAATTCATTAACTGGTTTTGTCCATTTAATATGTTTATGTCAGGTCATACCTGGAGTGGAGTGTTGATATACATGTAGTAATGAATATATTTATAAAAGAGAATGACAATAGTTGTGATATCTGCGCCCGATGACAACTCAGTAACAAGCCGCCTACCATCAGTCTGTGTGGTGTGGAGGACTGTGGTGACATTGCTCCAGAATCCCCCTCCTTCAGGCAGACATGACACATTCCACTGATACACGGTCCCGGACAGGAGGCCACACACAGAGGCAGACCCATCAGACACATTGTCCACGGGCTGAAAGTCCACAGGAAACAAAGGATAATACATACTCATATCCTGTATATAATCTATATTTTTAATATAATTCCCATTTATTCATTGTGATACCTCATTAATCCATTCCCTATTTTACTGAGGCTCTATTTCAAGAAATGAGCCTGTGGGGTTTTCGGGTAAGAATACAGGTCCCCAGTGGACTGGTGTCAGGCGCTGTGCCTTTTTCTATTGCTAGTCATTGCATCCCAAATGCATAGATCAGTGTTCATGTCAGTCCAGTGTTTGAAATTAGTGCCTGCCTATAGGCCTGTGGCAGGTAGATTTTGTATCGGGTCTGTAGTTTCAAAATTTGTAGTGTTCCTTATGGCCTGCAGTAAATTTATGACACGATTTATCTGTCAGAAAAAATAAGCTGCAGGTTTTTTTTAAATGAGGGCCTGAAGAGTTTAGTCAGTAGGGTTATGCAGGCATACTATTCCAAAGCATTCTGAACATGATGAAAGCAGGAAAGGTGTGTATAATAAATAATCAGAATCATCCCCATTTAACATAATCTTGTCCTTGGTGCTCAGCAAGAAGACTGTATATCTAAACACATGTTCTTTTAGTAATTACATGAACTCCTTAAGTTAGTGCCCACAGTATGAAAAAAGTGTCAGAAGAATGATTAAGGTATGAGGCTGTAGCTCATCAAGCTCACCTAAATGTTGTGGAGTACTTGCTGGGTTATAGATAATCTTTAATCATGCAAATTAGGATAATAAATCTTCAACATCTATGAACTCAATGTATGGGACAAAATAAGTCTTCAGCTTCTTAAACACTGTGGTTCAGATGTCAAAATTGTATTGCATGGTCTTCCTTGGGATTCCCATTTGATTGTGTCCCCAGCAACCTATGCTTGTTGTAGGGAGTTACTAAATAGATCGGTAGTCAGACACAATGATTTATTGTGTGTCATCGTACCCTGGCCACAGGAGACATTGTTCATAAAACATCTTGTTTGTAGATTATCTACAAGCTGTTGTGTAATACTTGGAATATTGCTGACTGCAGCATTCAACAGCAAACAAAATAAGATGTACAGAAAACTACAGTTATTACAAAGCCAAAGGGACCACTAATGTTAGTTCGTTATAACCATAATTCGTTATAAACATATTTACAGCATATATACAGCAAATTGACGGGACCAAAAAACAGTTTGTTATATTCGTCAGTTTGTTATAAGCTTCGTTGCTGTATTGCAAGTTCATGAATCAAAACATCAGCCCTAGAGAATAATTAGTGGCAAATATCTGTTGAAACAGATTACATATGCAATGAATTTAGATTGGTTTAAGCAAACACAGATCCAGAGGGGTTGAGTGCCTTCTTTGTGAAGAATACTAAACACCTAAACCTATAAAAGACATGTGATAAACCATTGGTGATATGTTACACAAAACTATCATGGATACCAAACACAAGTTGTTTTGCTAATTATTTACATTCCTCTTGCATGTTGTGTGCTAAGTGCACCACCCCAACTTAAACCACAGGAACTCGTTATTGGTCAGTAAATAAAAATATATACCCCTTATATGTTCTCTACTTACATATAGGGGGTATATATTTTTATTTACTGACCAATAACGATTTACTGACCAATAACGAGTTCCTGTGACTTAAACCCACCTCACAATACTCTTGCCAATCGGAGCAATTGTACAACATTCGACACTTTAGTGTATGAGTATCCACTTGTTGCCATGACAACGAGGCACAGGTTTTGTTGAGATTGATGGTGTTGATATCAGTCACAGCGGGTGGTCTTACTGTAAAAAGAATAAACAGGGAAATTATTACAATATACATCTTGTTATCGGTGTTGCAGCAGATCAGGGTGAAATTTTGCTGAATAAAAGTCACTTTAAAGATTCAGTTTCTATTCTAACAGGGGCAGTGGTGTAGCCTAATGTTTAAAGCGTTAGCTTGTCACGCCGAAGACTCGGGTTCGATTCCTGACATGGGTACAATGTGTGAAGCCCATTTCTGGTGTCCCCCACCATGATATTGCTGGAATATTGCTAAAAGCAGCTTTAAACCTTACTCACTCACACACCCTAAAATGACAACAGTATCAAATATGAAAAGAAAAGTAAAAGATGATAACAATATTCAAGAATGTATATTTACCAATGTTATTTGTGTCATACTTAAAACGTTCAGACACTTTCTGTTCACTGACTGTTCCCACACTGGTGAGAGTCATGACAGTGACAACTATTGTGTAGAGGCTTCCCATGCTGAAGCTATCTGCTGGCCAGTGACAGGATCCAGGTACAGAGTCGTCAACACAAACCTGGTTGGGAACATCACTGGAATGATATGTCAGGCATGATAGATTTTATCATTTTGTGAAAATAGGTAATACTTTGTCCTGCTACTATTATATACCAGTCAAAGTTTGCTGAGGATCATTTTTTGATGATATTACCAAATCATCCAACAGTAAAGATTGAAATATCCTGGGACACAATGATTGGGTAACCCCTCCAGGACCTCAATTTCATGATGGATGGACAGAGGCATGCAGTGCATGAGGTGCTTGAAAACCTGTGTGTGGATCTATCGTGATAGAATTGTTGCACATCATTATCAGATAGCACAACAACATTTGCATCCTCAGCATCAAAGATGTTGTTTGGGGACCGAAGAATTCGATAGATGCAAAGGCATGCTTGAAACTGGGTCAACACAATGTCACGTTGCAAACGTCTTTGATGTCAACGTGTGATCAGCATTAAACAACAAACAAACTTTATGTTGGACTAAGAACTCTGAAACAGATTTTGGATGATTCGTTAAAGTGGCACCTTCCACAAGAATCATTCTTTTAATTAGACACATAGTTTTATGATAAGCCGGATTTCCACTGCAGTCTTCCACAGCTATGTGAGTAAACACATGATTCTGTCAACACCATTACACTGTCAGTGCCCTGTGACCAGGTCATGACATCCACCAGAAACATGTTACAAAAACAAAAGTATGAAAATATAACAGAAAACAGCTTACACAAAATGTCTGTTTCATGACTCAGCTGTATGTTTCAGTCTAATCAATCAGTACCTTGGTGATTATGATAACAGGAGCCAAGCCAGTCATGCTTGCCCGTGGTAGAAGAAACTACACAAACACATTGTACTAATACAGATGTGAAATAACTGTAAGAAAGAAGTTGTTCATCTGTAGTCTTCTTATTGTCATTAATAGTACATGTATGACAGTTGCATGTGTTACTCACTTTATGCCCCAATTAAGTCGAGCTAGATGAATATTATTTGAGTCTGATTGCGAACTGACGTCCCATGGCCAGCTGCATGTCATGGTTGCCCAGTTGTCCACCACACACGACACATTTGTCACCGGCTCCATTCTCCCTGGGAACATAAAGTATAGTGAAACTGTACTCACTGTATTGTGTCTGTGAAAACACAAGTTAGATAAATCAAGATGGAACCAACTAATTATCTCTTGCCTATCCTCTTCTGTTGCTGTTAAAGAGGGAATCTTTTCAGAGAATATTAGATTAATTCACTTACGTTACACTTTGATGAACGACTAGGTTAGGTATGGTGTGTTATCACATCTAGGTTGAAACATTGGCTATCTGAAACAGATCATGCTCATGAAAAGTCACAATCATCATCATCATCATCATCAGTAATCTAACGGGATCGGGTTCTCAGGCTCGCTGACTTGGTTGATGCATATCATCGTATCCCAATTGCATGCATTGATGTCCATGATGTCAATCACTGGATTGTCTGGTCCAGACTCGATCATTTACAGACAGCCATCATATAGCTGGAATAGTGCTGAGTGCAGCGTTAAACAACAAACAAACAAACAAACAGTAATCACTTCCATTTTTACTGATAAATGGCAGCAGCTGTGAATCACAAAATCACTATCCTAATTTACATTCAACTCCATTTGGAATATCAGGAAACATGCATTTCAAAATGACAGTCATTGCCCAAATTGCCTACCATCTTCTTACCATTGAGATGTTACATTGATTGTGCTTTTCAGGTCAGAATAGGTCCCCAATGTCTAATAAGGCTTGTATAAGGGCTGACTAACATTAGCAACGAGTTGTAAGACTCTGTGACTTGACTGATCGTGTGTCATACTTCAATAACATGGGACGTTTCTCCTGCTATCAACCACTGGTTACCGGCACAGACCTGATTTTATTAATGGTGTCAGGATTCAGCTGGACTGGTATTCACTGCTGCATGAAGCAGAAACAAGCAGGTCATGTTAGCTGCATTGAATCGTAGGGATCAATAGGGATACATCATCCAGTGTCTACTCCAGCCGTGATAACACAAAACACATCAAACACCTCCATCCACTCCGCTAAAATGTTCCTGACAAAATTATGGAGTTATATTTTGGCTGGACTAACGAATCTATACATAGTCTAATCAAAATCATGCAATGAAATCGACATCCGGTTTGTAAACTGCCATGCAGAGTTCGTTTGATTGCAGGATTTGCAAAGCATGTGCCCTGCCAACTCGTTGTCAACAGATATTTTCCAAATCTTGTCATCTTCTTAATCAAGCTGCTCATGTGATTTGATGAAGACCCGTTTTATCACAATATAGATTTAGATTATCGATCAGATCATACTGACTGGGCGTTGCCATTTTGTTTGAAGCAAATGCAAGTGATATGAGTGGTGAAATCTGACTAGTCAATAGGAGGGACATAGAAGCGATATGACTCATAATTGTCACTGGTGGTGCTATGATTGAGCCCCGAAATTCCATCCTAGTTGGGCAAGGGTGGAAACTGGACTTTTACAGTCAGTTAACTCCCTTTCCTCGGCAGAATGCCCAGTTTGGGCATGAACCAAAAAGTGGAAAACCAAGCCCTTTAACTTCAAAGTGTACTCTTTATATGGCCATGGGGGAAAAACACAACAAATTCAAAATCAATGCTCTAAATAAAAAACCTACTACACAGCTATGTAAAGAAAACATAAAATTGCATATTTTATGTGGGTGGTATGGATATACTCAAATATATAAGAAAAACGTACCAGGAGAAGTGCCAAGCTGTATAAATCTGCGGTATTGACAATGGTATTTCATGTCCAACCAGCACTGACCCTCAAGTCATTTTGAAAGGTATTGGCAGAGGGGCAAATAATCCATTGATTACACAGGCATGTGGAGGAGAGGATGTGCTTAATGAAGCATGTGCTCTTTCATACCTGAAACCTTTTACACAATCTACAATGTTACAGATTAACTGCAACTCAACTATGCCTATTTAAATGGTTGAATGATTTCCTTCCTTGAGTCGATTTGATTAAAACAATGGTAAGGTTGATCACTCAAATTTGTAAATTGGTTTTGTGAAATACCCTGCATACAGCTTTAAAAAAGAGATACACTTTCCACTTTTGCTTGAAATTTGAAAATATTAATTTTGAATAATTTACATTTTATGTCCCTGTTGAATATTTCATAAAGTGTAAGATAGATGACATTTCAGCGATAAATTATTTTCTATTTATCCAATTCAACATGATATTTACTGGTCATAAATAATTCAAATGAACTCAAAGACTATTCCTTCTGGAACAGGCTGCTTGCCCCAGTTTGAGAATGAACCATTATGTCCAGAACCAAGCTCTTAACTTCAAAGTGTACTCTCTATATGGCCATGGGGGAAAAAAAAAACATATTAAAAATCACTGCTCTAAATACTAATGTCCATAAAGAATCCAGGTGTACTAAGTCACAGAGGTGCTTTAACATAATCCAAAGTAGATTAACGTTGTTATGCTAATGGTGAGTGATATTTCATCAAGTAGAAGGTATGAATTTGTTCTCAACATGGGTCTGTATGGTGTCCGAAATAACTGCCTGCCCGCTGCCCATGGCTGGTAACTTTTTTATTGGGGTGCATGAAATTTTCCTCCACCTGCTCGACTGTCTGGCAAAATATTTTAAGACTACTTATATGGTTATACATGTATCATAACTCCTTGTAGATTCTCAAGTAATTGTTTAATTCAACTGAATCAAGATACAGTCTCTTAGTTTTCGTGATTTTTCCATATTTATTATGTCTGAATGCAGGTAGGTAACTTTGAAGATAGGCAGGCAACATCTGTTGGTCACGTGCCTGTCTTGTTGGGTTTTAAAATTGTTTCCAACACTGGGTCAGTATATGAAACCGGTGTTGTGTCCCCAACTGTTATACTTCCCTGCTAATAACAGTCTATAAACACACACTAATTTTAACTGAGCTCACACAGGTCAGCTGAGATAAACATACATATCAAGATAAGTTGTATTAGCCCAGCCTTCTATGAAATATAGAGGCCTGCCCTACTTAGGTGTGGGTAGCAGTGTTCAGACCATGGTATTTCTATAATAGAGACATCCTTGTCAGTTTTATCATGTTGTATGATCCCCTTGACTGTTTCTTACTTTCAGCACTGCTTCACTAAGCCTGAAAGCTCTATTCAAAGAGTACATGTTAAAGGCCTTAGCTTAGACTATATGAAGCGTGTCTGTATGAGAAAGGGACACGGGGGGCATAATACATGACCTGTCTGCGCCCTGGAGTCACGATTACCTCCACACATGTGAGCCTAACATTACTTTCATCAAAACACAATTCAAATGGCAATTATATAATACCTTTGCCTCATTTGTGGAGTGCAAAATTCACATTTTACAGTAATGTGATTTGGTATGGTTATTCTCTTTACCATGCCTGCACGATTATCCGTTTGAAATTCATTTGCATTCACACTGAAAAAACAGCAACCTCAAAGCTTGTACATTTGCAGACAAATGGAATGTGATCATTTTTAAGGCCACAAGATATTGAGAAGCTGACCTTTGCCAAAGAGTGTGGATTACCAGTGTTTTATAGTTATCTAGTTTTAAGACCCAAGAACTCTATAGATAGATCTAATTTGTTCAAGATACAGACATTGACAGCTGTGCATGTTCAGCTATTTCAAGGAGACCTTCAATGTAGTAGTAGTAGTAGTAGTAGTAGTGAGTGCCTTATGAGACGCTAACATGTCTACACAAATGAAGAGCTTAGAGCTAACAGAGGCCAAAATGCACTTTGGCCTTTTTTGCATATTATTGCATAAATAACATCTATGAGTTCTTGTCTACCTGTAGAAAGAATAGAGCATGTTTTCATTGATGCATTTGTGAAATATAGCTACTTAAAATTCTAAAAAAAAGGCCAAAGTCACTTTACTAGATTTTGGCCCTTTTAGCTCTCATTTCCGTGTGTGGTTGAGACTGGTTGTCTGAGAGAGATTTTGAAAGTTTGGACACCTTATTATTATATTTCAACTATTTCAACAAAGTTAGCATTAGTTTAAAAGTACTTCAATAGTATGTGTTTGTACTTTCAGTAGTAGTTTATCAATCTCACATATTAATCACATGCAAATGCCTGAGGGTCAAAAAGGGCCAAAATACAGACATTGGCCCTTTCCACCCTTACACAACTTAAAAACATAAGTTTACTTCCTTTTTTTGAATGTTTTATATAACAACATTTATATGTCTGCTGTCAGAATGTGTTAATGTCTAGGAATTTATCGGTAAAAAAAAGTTGATTAAAATGCATAATATTATGTGTTTTCATCACTTTTCTCAAAACAGACTCCACATGAAATAGGCCCTTATGGCTCTAAGCTCTTCAAATAGGATGCATTAAAATAGTAACTTAAAACTGCTTTAATATGAAATATGTTATAACATTGTTTACCATCTTTTAAACTTCTTAAAAAGGGTTGAAGCTAAAAGATTTTGAAGTGTAATATTCATAGGATATATGTATTGGGTCTATAACACAGACATAATACAGTGTGAATGAGTTTGTGTACTAGTGCACGTACGTGGATAAGTATGTAGTTTGTTGTGCAAGCATGGCTGGGGTGGGAAGGGATTGGGCAGTATGCAAGTATGAATATTGATGTTGTTACTTGTTTTTAAGTGAAGCATGCTTTTGTATTTAACATATACTTTATGCTTTTAAAAAGATTTGAGTATCTCCTTGGTCATGTTGGCTGGGCATTGTATGCAGACCCACCGGCTTATGACACAATGTGGTACAATGAGCTGCAACAAAAACTTCATCTTCTTCTATAATTTAGTCCTGTCATTTGTTAAACCATAGATTGACTGTACATATAATAAAATATAGGATCCAGTGAGTCAGTCTTCAGGCCCTCATTTAAAAAAACTACAACTTATTGTGACAAATAAATCAAGTAAATTTAATGCAGGCCCTAAGGACCTATACAAATTGACATGAGATCTAGCACCCACGGGCCTACGGGCAGGCGCTTATTTTGAAACACGACATTGGGTGTTGTGTAATAGTCTGCAACATTGCAGCTCTATCCATGCAGCCTGTAACTATTCTTGACCCGGCAAACTGGTGGCTGAAAACATCAGCAATGACCCATAACATGGGGGCACATTGTCACGTAATAAGTCAAGTCACTGTACCTGGCCTCCCATTCTAATTACATGTATGTCACCTCTAAAGATGAGCAATGGTGCGCTTGGGACCTATTCAAACATGAGGTCTCAGGGTGCCCAAATACAGGAGCAATGTCAGTTACTGACACAGATATACAGGCTTCAAAATTAACAAATCTAGTCTGAAGCTTGTGAAATTCAGGGAGGACTGGTGACATTTCTTGTGGACCATCATTTTAGAAATTTGGTAGTTTTTAGATTATTTTTGCGGACTGAGGAAAGTAAAATTTCATTTATTTCAAATCCTGGTATAAAATGCCACGTAAACTGTGCTGAAATCTATAAAGAGTAACCACTGGTCCTACAGAAAAAGTGCATCCTATCTGAAATATGTCTGGTGTTTTGCTGTCAGAACCATGGGTATTTGTGGCTACAACCATATCTTCATTCTACAGACAGAATTCTAGTATTTGTTTGCTATTATTAAAGGCAATGGGTCATGATGGGAACATGTCTTGTTTTGAATCTATATCTTGAGGTTCATAATGGAATGATCACAACTGTCTTTAGTAACAGACTCAGAAACAAATATATACACATCTGTGTAATCACTAAAGAAAACAAAATTGTGGACTGTATAATATCTGTAGTAGGATCATATAAATTCATGAGCAGCAAAATCATATAATGGTTATATATGTAAAGAAGATTAATGAAATACTGACAAGAAGCCCTGGTCTATAAGCCTGACTTCATGTACAATCTAGACTTGCTTCTATCCATGCAAACACCATGACAACATGTGTACAGCTGTTGATGTACTAGCCTGTGAGGGAGTCTACACATCAATGCCTGGCCGACCATGTGCTACAGCTATCACAATAAAATGTCACCCACACAGCATTGTTTGGACAATTACAACTGTCACAATGAATCGTCACACACCACACAGTTTTACACGAGTACAGGTTCAGGGATGCTGTGTGATTATCAGCATCAGGCCCATAGCCTTGTTGGCCACCCGACCATGTACACCAAGGCAATGAAATAGAATTCTGTGTACGACAATAACATTGACAAAACAACAATGTCAGCCTGTAACAAAAAAATAAAGTAACTCCTTTCACAAACATGTCACTCATAGCATGAAGACTTCATGATCCATACCCAACTTGGCGGGCTTCTGTCTTGGGCCAAAAACAAGCAAACACAAGGCATGGAGGGGTATTTGTATTCCTCCTCTTAGCCATGACAACTGATTAATTAATAATGATAAAAATTACCTGAAATTAACCTGTTGGCAGCAGGAAATGAGACAGCCATGTATTTGAATGGTGTATCATGAGTGCAAGCCATGCAGGCCTTGTCTATATTTAAATGACACTCCCAATGTACGTGGACTTGCTTGCCCACCTGTCTGACCTTCTCCCATCTTACCTTGATACAATATGGTAGATCAATCAGACATCGGATATAACAAACAGTTCCACGGGATGGCAAGCTGTAGCACTCTGCACATATTTGTCAGGGCCTTTCTCCAGGGTACGTTGATCTAAACCCACACTAATGTCGGCTTCTGTTAAACCGGTCTGGTCCCACTTGCATGGAGAATATGTAGGCCAAACACAGCTGTGTGTATGCTACAATTGATGTACGGGAGCTCGACAGTCAGCGAAGCATGTCATATATTATGCATTCACCTGTGAAATCCACAACAGTGTCATGCATTGATATTCAGTGTGAGGAGCAGTGCCCTGTGTCATGGAGTGCTCAGTGTCCTGTGAGTGCTGCGGATACAATGAGAGGATTTGGGGTTTAGTGTTTGTCAAACTTGTGGACAGTCAATCTTGTTCAATCGGTTACCTGCTGTCAACACTGGAGTATGAAGATGTATCAGGATTTCGTTCTTATTGTGTCTGATTTGGAATCAAAACTGACGGAGGCCAGAGTTTTATTGAAAAACCTGACAACTCAATAACCATGTTTATGTATTTACTTCAGGTCTTGCTGCCTTGATTTGTGGTTCTTTATTATTTTGAATTACATTATTTTCAATTTGATGGAGGGGTATTTGTATTCCTCCTATAAGCCATGACAACTGATTAATTGATTATGATAAAATCTACCTGAAATAAACCTGTTGGGCCTGTTGAGTAGTTAGAATTTGGAAAGAATGTTTTTGAATTGTATTTTGAATAACATGCATTCTTTAATGGTTGAATGATTGTCATGGCATTAACAATTCCCCTAGCTACACCATGTATACTGTTGTACACATAGTGAACAAATGTGAATATTTTTATGTAAGGGTCAGCAGTATTCCTGTTACATCATGGCGGCCCAAAATGATCAAGTCTGGACGAGGAAAACCAGTGACTGAAAGCATAAGTAACTGTAGACTGCCTCCATAGTCGAGTGGTAGAGTGCTGGCCGGGAGAGCGAAGGTCGGGGGGTTGATCCCCGGACCCGTCATACCAAAAGACGTTTAAGGATGGTACTTGTTACCCTGTCTGGTGCTCGGCAAGGACAGGTCGGTTCGGAGTCAGTATACTGTGTCTGAGTGGGGTATTCATGTTAAACTGTGGCATAGTATCTCAGTGGGCTAACACTATAAAATCAGCATTAGTCCAAAACACACAAACATACTTCGCTATTTAAGTGCAATAATCTTGAACGCGACGTTAAACCCCATTTCACCTCACCTCACAATAACTATCCACACAAGAGGGGCATAATGGCACACTATCAGAGCAGTCTTCGGACTTGACCACCTAATTCTCTGTCATTGGCTCTTACAAGCATGGGATACAGGGAGCCTCTTGTTCTCTGGTGTCCCCATGGGGTAGCTACCTCACTGACTCCCTGTACTGTATATATCATGGAGAAGGATGTACACATGACAAGCACTGACATAACATCAATCCTGGATGTGTCAACATCTCACAGGGGCCTGCAGGCAATGGAACAAACTTAAAACACCTACTCAGGTTTGCTGTAAAAATGACTCATTAATCTCTGAAATAAAATAAAATTTTCTTTTATAAAAATATGTGCGAATTATTCTTGAGCATTATAAAAGGGAATAAGATGTCACTTAATAATCCCTTATTGAGATTAATGCTGCAAAGCTATATCAGTTGTTTCAGGAAATTGCAGAATATCTGCAAGAGGATCTAATCATCATGATTATAAAGCAGGTTTCAGGTAATTTGTTGTGAGCTTGATATAGTTCCTGTTACAAAATTTAATGAAGTTTTGGAATTTGTATTTGAAATATATTGCAAATATCTCTCCCATGTTTGATGACTCTAATAAGAAGCATCTGTACGGTTGACACATGATTGTAGTACCTCTCCCATGTTTGATGACTCAAATAGGAAGCATCTGTATGGTTGACACATGATTGTAGTACCTCTCCCATGTTTGATGACTCAAATAGGAAGCATCTGTATGGTTGACACATGATTGTAGTACCTCTCCCATGTTTGATGACTCAAATAGGAAGCATCTGTACGGTTGACACATGATTGTAGTACCTCTCCCATGTTTGATGACTCAAATAGGAAGCATCTGTACGGTTGACACATGATTGTAGTACCTCTCCCATGTTTGATGACTCAAATAGGAAGCATCTGTACGGTTGACACATGATTGTAGTACCTCTCCCATGTTTGATGACTCAAATAGGAAGCATCTGTACGGTTGACACATGATTGTAGTACCTCTCCCATGTTTGATGACTCAAATAGGAAGCATCTGTACGGTTGACACATGATTGTAGTACATCTCCCATGTTTGATGACTCAAATAGGAAGCATCTGTACGGTTGACACATGATTGTAGTACATCTCCCATGTTTGATGACTCAAATAGGAAGCATCTGTACGGTTGACACATGATTGTAGTACCTCTCCCATGTTTGATGACTCAAATAGGAAGCATCTGTACGGTTGACACATGATTGTAGTACCTCTCCCATGTTGTTACTCAGGTCTGTATTATTTCAGATGCGGGCATATTTTTAATATGCTTGACACATACATGTGCTGTTATATTTGCAAAGAGACCCTTTTGTAAAATGGATCGTGTGGTCAGACTTGGTGACTGTGTTGACTACATTTGGACATTGCTCATAATATCAATCACTGGTTTGTCTGAACTATTGCTGAGTACGGCGTAAACCACACAGACAGACACACTCACAGACACAGACACAGACACACACAGACAGACAGACAGACAGATGCACGCACGCACACACACACACACTTCTTAGAAAGCTTGTTGTAACTGTTAAGTCAAGACTGTGGCTTATTCCAATCAACCTTCATTCTGAAATTAGTATCCTGTATTCTTATTTTGTCAGGGGAGAGTTTTCTGCGGATTTCGTTACATCAAGGGTAACTTTTGTGATACATGTCATTATAATGTACACATAAATCATGAAGTCCCCCACAGAGCTGGGACGAGCAACTCGGGTTCTCAGGTTGGTTAGGTCCTGAGTAGGACCCAGACCCGTGGTTGCTCACGTGATATACTGGTATTGTATAATGACAAAAATACACTATACCTCCATGGCTACATTAAAATTCTCTAATGTTCACATTTTTTTCTGACTATGCACGCTTTCTTTCTGACTTAAATATGTTTGAATAAAGATAAGCTTCAGTCAATCATAAGCATATGCATGATCAGATTGTTTTATATGTGTATCTACGTAGTTTTTTCCAGGCTCCGGTAAAACAATTCCCAATCAGACATTTTGCACCTAACGTTTGAGACTATAGCGGGCACCTGGGTAGGGTTAGGTTATAGGGGGTGGGTACCCAGGTAGGGTCGGGTAATAGGGGGTTGGGTACCCAGGTAGGGTCAGGTGATAGGGGCTCTGGTACCTGGGTAGGGTCGGGTGATAGGGGGTTGGGTACCCAGGTAGGGTCGGGTAGTAGGGGGTTGGATACCAAGGTAGGGTTGGGTGATAGGGGGTTGGATACCAAGGTAGGGTCGGGTGATAGGGGGTTTGGTACCAAGGTAGGGTCGGGTGATAGGGGGTTGGGTACCAAGGTAGGGTCGGGTAATAGGGGGTTGGGTACCCAGGGGGGTCAGGTTATAGGGGACTTGTCCCAGCCCTAGTCCCCCAGATTCCCTGGTAACTTTCAGCGTTTCTTTTGAAAAAGAACATTCTCACCCCTCTATGTTATCATGCTTATCCATTTTACATGATTTACACATTTCATCAATGACCATAAAGCTGTCCTATCCACTGACAGTAGAATCTGCAAAACAACAATGAAACATTCATTTGGTCTAAATAAACAATGAATTTCACAGGTTTCAAACACTTGTACTGATTATGTCAAAATTGTAGTAAAAATGACCTGAAAGCACCATGTGCTATTCAAACGTAATTATCCCTGGCCAAGAATCAAGGGATACATGACCTGTGTCATTTATGAAAAGGGGAGAAAATTGCATACTCACTCAAACATCCTCCCACACATATTCAACTATATATCGGCACACAAAAGTCCCAGTGAGATGTTTTCCCTCTCCACAGCTTTCGAGATTGTCTGTGTACATAGCCTAATGTAAGTGGACAGGTGGGTCCCATTACAGATATACAAACTACAATGTACACATTATACTTGCGTGTAACAGCAGAACGCTGTGCACACTTTTTGCGTCCTTGATTTATTTGGTCACTATAAAACACAAGATTAAGACTGTGTCCTACATTATATAATTTCTCTCCAACACCTAGCAAATCTTATTCTAGGTTTAAGGACACTTGGGCACGCATAAATACATGAGCATTGTGTTTGGATCGTTTTTGTCAATATAGACAAATATTTGACCGGTACTTAGCTGACCATCACCAGCTTTCTTTATTGAAAGCAAATGCAGTTTTTATTTCTGCATATTTTGATGCACTGTCACCTTATCTCTACAAGAGAGGCTACATGCTTTGTTCAGTGGGATAACTGCATGCCTGTGTTTAGCACTGTTAAAGTGTCCCTGTTGTGATATTACTGAAAGTGGAGGACAGTGGTAGGCATTGATCGTGTTACATACAAAACACACTCCTATTATCTTGTAAATGTTGGAAATATGCACATTTGTCTGGATGTTTACGTTTATCACGGGAATATGATATAAGTACGACATTTCATAACAAAAGGCAGTGGGAGCCCAGTGATTAAAGCATTCACTCGACAAGCCAAGGACCCATGTTCAGTGTTCCACATGTGTAGTCTGTGAAGGCCAGATCTATGCCCCCTGTTGTGATATTGCTAAACGTGGAGTAAAGCCAAACTCACAGTTAACACACTTTTGTTACACCGCAATAACATGTAAATCTATTGGGTTTAATAGCCTCTGAGGGGGCACGGGTAGCCGAGTCGTCTAAGGTGCTGCAATTCTCTGTGCAGAGTTGCATCCCTGGACACGCCAGAAACCTATGATTGTGGGTTCGAATCACGGTTTGCCCCGATTATGTTTCTAGGTTTGTCAGCACCATACGCGTGCTTGTGGGTTTCACCGAAGTGGTAAAAGTCTGAGACCTGCGTCACTTCAGGCTTTCCTCCCACATTAAGCTGACACACCGTGATATAACTGGAATATTGTTGAAAGAGGCGTTAAACCCAACTCACTCACTCACTAATAGCATCAGAACAATCCATTCGACAAGAAGTTATTATTTTACATGTAGAGTTATAGTCTTTCAACATTTGTAAATGACTGACATTTGGAATGAGTGCATGAAC